AAAAGGGAAACACAAAACACATCAAAATATAAAAAGCCAAAATGTCAGAGCAGAGCACCTAAAAAGAATGTAATTCTTTTTAAGTAATTTTGTAATGAATTTATTTTGTTGTATGTTTGATTGAATAAATATATACCTGAAATAAATAAATAAAGGGTTACGATAAGGTTACCATTTCTTAACAACACTTCTGAAAGTGATAAAATACTGTGTCATGCACAGTTTGAGCCGTTTGCACATTTTTCAAAATGTAGACTTTTGCACAGTTTTCAAATTTTGAAAAGACATCCTTACACAGTTTGCAAATTGTGCAAGATTTCCTTGCACAGTTTCCAAACTACGGAACAATTTGCTTTGTGCAAACGGTTCAATATGTGCGCGATATAGCTCGATTTTAATCGATTTGCACATAAATTTGATTATAGATTAGTAGGTATTAATCTATTCTTTTGTTGATGAGTGGCTGTGTGACGGGGCTTACGTTACATCTGCTTCAACTTCAATAGGGCCTCATTGGAGACTTGTGAAAACATTTAGCACTTTGATATACAACACTAGTACCTAACAATTTTCTAGTTAATAAGATAATCAGGGACTTGATTGCATTGGTAATCATTATGTGATATTGATAGCCATGATTATTTACAGTATATAAAAAATATAACACGTTAAGCTTTGTGTAAACAACTAATATCAATGTTGAAAAAGGCTGGCTAGTGTGTGGCGTTGTTTGGTCTGCAAAACTATTAAATAAGAACTTATCAGACAGGCGGTCTAGCAATAATTGCGGTAATATAGCCCATGTCACAGGGTTACTCTTCCCAGTGATTCAGCCTCTGGATTCTGGACATAACTTTCATAGTAAATTCTCCACTTTCCATCCCGAATTCTGTAAACAGGGGAAGGGCAGTTAATCTCTAGTGAATTAAGTCCAGAGGTCAGTTTTATACTTGAGGGTTCAAATTCAATATTATGTCTATTGTTGTTAACAATATTTGGTAAAATATGTCACAAAAATGGTGTACATATTTGAAGATGTAAATCCAGACAATTTCATGAATCGTGATACCCAGTAGCGATTGATTAGGCGGTAGGCTTAATGCAAGTCTACTTATAACACATTAAATCATAATAAAAGACGTTATAGAATCTTACTTCATAGCGAGTGATTTTCACAGGATCATAAAAGCCATTCCAAGCAATGGCTAAGTTTCTTGTATCTGATTGGTAATATCCACGGGGCGTATAAGAAGATTGTGACGTTATCAACACTCTAACGTTTGCATTATCTGTTATTGGTGGACGAGTCACTATGACAATGCCATCAGAATTATAAGTGGTGCTCATACCAGCATTGTTGTGGACTCGAATGGTTGAGAATAATCGTACATTCTCGTATAGCGTGTCATTAACTGTGGCGATTCCGAAACCGTCATCACAATTAATTGGCCTGAATTCCTGGATATCATCAGTTAATGGATTCAAACCTGTGGAAGTACCATATTTGCTGGCGGTTAACTACTTCGATAATATACACATCAATTGATAGGAACCAATGATACTCAATAAGAATCAAATACCGGTACTGCCAGCAAAAAAGATAATAATGCAGAATCTTCAAATACAGTGCACCTCTAATTCGAAACCAATTTTTCAAATAACCAAATTACAATTATCAATGAACTCAAAAGAGTATACTAAACTCAGTGGCATATCTGGGCCCACGCCCCCCCCCCCCAAAA